ATACGTTTAACATGTGTGCCTAATAAATGTAAATGCAAAATATTTCAAACATTTAGGTAAACTGAAATAATAATAAACATCTGGTAGAGTTAGTTTTTGTAGAAGTTATATTCAGATCCAACAGCTTAAATTTGGAGAACTAACAGATCTTCAGTTCTCCCTTACAAGCGATTACACTCCGTATTGAAATAATAAAATATTTTGTTTGTGTTTGATAAATATTGTTTCTTGTATTTCCGCACATTTGTGTCCAGTATCCATATTTCTTATAAACACAGTTAGACGAAGATAATTTAAGATCACTCTGTAATTGTTTTGTATTTGTATTTATGGCAAATCTACTTGCCACCATCCCTAATTTGGAATTACTGATCAGAAGGAAGAGAGATAGTCAGCAGATCTCTACCACCCCCATTCATGCTAGGAGATTGACTATCACTGTTATAACGCACCTAAAGCTTAAAGCGCGGAGAATATTGTATGTTATTGCACGAAGTCGAGCTCAGTTCCTAAGGTCCAAAGTTTAGAACTATACCAAAGGGTCAACCTGCACCGTACTCTGCAATAAATGTTTTGTCGAATTTCTTATTAATCTGCAGACTTATTTTATTGCTCTAAAAAAATCAGTTTGATCTGAAAATACCACATGGACAATCCGTAAACCCAGTCTTCGACTGTGTGAACCTGTTCGGACAATTCGTAAACCCAGTCTTCGACTTTGTGAACCTGTTCGGACAATCCGTAAACCCAGTATTCGACTTTGTGAACCTGTTCGGACAATTCATAATCCCAGTCTTCGACTTTGTGAACCTGTTCGGACAATTCGTAAACCCAGTATTCGACTTTGTGAACCTGTTCGGACAATTCGTAAACCCAGTATTCGACTTTGTGAACCTGTTCGGACAATTCGTAAACCCAGTATTCGACTTTGTGAACCTGTTCGGACAATCAGTAAACCCAGTCTTCGACTTTGTGAACCTGTTCGAAAGAGCAAAATTTAAAGAAAAGGGAAATTTTTTGCCGTCATTTGATATCTGTGAGATTTAGGCAGTTAAGAAAAGTTGTCTACAAATCCAAGAAAATATACAGCCATGAAGAATTGATTAGGATGAAATCAAAAGATTTTGAGTTTCTCTGCCTATAAAAACGTAACTGCATGTAAATTCTATTTGGTGCTGTGTTATTTCACTTTTTTGCATGATTCCTCAGTTTATTATTTAGTGTTCAGATACTGCTATAAAAAGTATTAAGGAATTTTTTTTATCTTTATTTATGAGAAATGAATACTGTCATTTCTAAAATCATTAATCTATATTTCTATAAATTTAAATCGATCACCTTGTTTTCTAACAGTATGTTTTCGTTAATATGTAATGTACAATTCTACTCCCAGATGAGCTGACAGACCCTATTGGCTAATAAAATATAATTCATTTGTATCAATTGCAAAGAATGAAGCATATGTATCAGGATAATTGAAACACGAAACGAAGAATAACTGTGAGAAGTGCAAAAGCAACAATTTGGACTCAGAATGCAAAGTGAGCAGGTAATTTTTTCTTTTAGTCTCAACATAGTATATGTTACTCAACTACCACTATAGTCTTTTTATCCACCTTGAGTTTAAAGTAATTAAGTTTTAGAGACTAAATGCAAAATAAAAAGGAACAAATATAAGACTGTCACAATTAAATCTTCTGTATGTTAGAGTTCCATGTTACCTGCTAGTGTGATATTTTCATAGAAAAACTGATTTCACGATAAAAATGAGATAATTAGGCCTACTAATAACAGCTGATTCGTTAAGGAAATAAGGAATGTGATCTTAGTCTGAGAACTTGACTGAGTTTTCCTAGTGTTTGTGAAATAATGAGACTAGACAAGTTTTACAAAATTTATTATAAAATAAACAAAAACAGCATGTGTACTTGGCACATGAAAATGCAGTCGTTTCTACTAGATTGTAATTAGCTCCACAGCTTTCTTTCTTTCAAGACAGACTTCTACCAAGCTAAAAACGATTATCTTAAAGTAGATCTTTACTTGAAGAACTCCAGGTAGAAACTGAACTAAGAAAATGCAACTAAATTAATCAGGTAAACTTAGTTTTTTTGCCCAGTTGACGGCGTCATCCCGTGATATTTGTTTTTTCACAGTGCTTGGGTGGCTGTAAAACTAGGACATACCACATTGGTCAACAAAGGATATTACAGTCGCTAATCCTTTTAATTCAGATGCTTTATCATATTTCATTATTACTATATCCTCTCAGGCAGAATAGACGTTATCTATTATAGAGAACAAAGAAACTAGAAACATATTTATGATAAGACTGCATAGGAAGAAGATAAACTAAACATTTAAACAAATTCTATGTAATTAAATCAGGTAGAAAGTATTGTTGTAACAAGTCCTTTAATTAGCAAGACTATTTTAAATCAGTGGTTCTCGACATGAGCCATATGGCCCCCAGGGGGCCTCGCCATGTTTCTAATGGGCCACACGTGAATGACGGCAAAGTAGGGGGCCACAGTAAATTCTGAGTGGGCCACCGAAACTTCACTGCCCCAATAAAATATTTAAAAGTTAAAATTGAATCGAAGGTTCCCTTCTCTCTGTATCCCTCATAGCTCAGAAGTCAAGTTACTAGATGCGACTAATACTCGAGTAACAATCAAAATGTTTGTCTGGTATCTGTGAATGTTTTCGATTGGTTCTCAATAGCAGCAAGTGATATAACAGCTCAATCTAGATTAAACGTGACAAACATTATTTCTGGATAAGTAGTGAAATAGGTAATAAGTTCCATAGCTCTGGGAGGAGGCAAAGTTGTATTTTATCGCTTTCCCACATCTTATCTGGTTGAATCTGGTTTTAGTTTGGTGACTTATTTGCTATCAAAAATACCTAACCACCTCGATGTTGTGAAGAGAGGTGATCTTCGCTTATAACTGACAACACTGCAACCGGACACCATTCAAAAACTTTCAAGTGTTCATCAGGCTCAAGGATCACACTGAATAAAATGTCAATGATTAACAGAATATTTTTTTCTTGTATAAGCAAACAGTATGGTTACTTATACAAGTAAACAGTATGTTATAAACAAAATATTTAAAAACAATACAATACTGTAAAAATAATATCATAAATAGATTATAAATCAACAGTGTGGAAATAAAGTAACTTTTTCCCTAAGTAACAACGTCTACCAAGGGTGGGGTCACAGTGATAAATCAAACTCAAAAGGGAGCCATGAGCAAAAAAAGGTCGACAAACGCTGTTTTAAATTATTTGCGAAAATAATCCAAGTTCAATCTATGTAAGGACAACATATATATTTATTTCTTTAATAATGTTTGCTACAGGTTACATTTGCTTTGATGCAAGATGTAGGCCTAAGTTCCCAAATAAACTTTTAACATCAACTCTGAAGCTACAGTTGGCCTAATAATAATAATACTGTTACGTATCTCCTTGTTTGTTAATTTCCGGTCTAAATTCTTCCCGAGGAACTTCAGCGATACAAGTCCTTTCTTAATTAAAATTAGTTTATTCTTTCTCGATACAACTTTGTAATACACAGAATTTCTACAGTCACTTTAAACTTAACAACCTTTATAACACACGCTATAAATCACAGTGAGTCACACACTTTACTTATGGTGCCTACTGTTCGCTTGACTCAATTATCTATCTATCTCTTCGATCTATCTGCCTATATCGCTGGCTTTCTTTGCCAGACTTATATACTAAAAAGAGGGCGTCTAGCAAATACTCGGAGTTTCGCGGGGTTCCCCGATAATTCTAGAAACTCCAGCACGCATGCTCCCAGCGTCACGCGATTGCCGCTGTCGTAACAATACACTAATAACATTGGACATAAATCTACTCGATTGATAACAAACCTGACTGTTTAACTTTACTCGATCAATCTTCTCTCGATTAACAACTACTCGATTTTTCACACGTATACTGAATACGTTCTTGAATTCTCAACCACTACTCAATAACTTCTCAATAAATACTTCACTGACTAACTGAAACTCTGACATTAATTAACTGCTTTCTCATATTTACAACAAATGTACTACTGTCGAATTTTACTATATCTTAACCTCATGTGCCCTCTAGCTAACATTTAAATTCAAACGTTGAAAATTCAGCTTGCAACGATATATATCTATATGTCACTCTAGATTAGTCACTTTACATACACACGCGCAAATCGTGGAACTTTGTTTATCATACCCATTATTGGACCTCAGGTCACAAAACATAATTTTATCAAATCTGATAGTTTTTGCAGTTTTCATTGCTGAAAAAATTTCTGAAAAACAACCAGACTTAAAAAGCGAGGTTTGTTTGGAATTAAGCACAAAGCTACACAATGGGCTATCTGTGCTCTTCCCATGACGGGTATCGAAACCCGGTTTCTAGCGTTGTAAATCCGCAGACATGCCGCTGTGCCACTGGGGGGGGGGGGCAAAAAGCGAGGAGCAGCCTTTTTACAGATAAATTTAACATATTAATTTTTCATTAATTTTAAACGGTGTTTTAGGGTTTAGAATCCACAAGATATAATAACAACACTTGAGTAGCTGTTGTTCTGGAAGACGTGAGTAGAAAAAGTTTTATAAAAGATAAATTAACACGCTTAAATAAAAAAATTTGTGCAACGTTTCGGGCAGATGCCCTTCGTCAGCCAATAAAGACCGTGTTACATTGAAATCAGCTCATTTATCGTGTTAATTTATCCTTTATTATCTTATAATAATAATACTTAATTAGATACTTATATAATTATTCATTGATTTATTTTAAATCTTGGGCATCGCATTTTACGTTACATTTCTAATTTCTTGTAATGTATTGTTTAAATTACTATAGATTTTTAAATAATAGAACACGAAAGTGTAATTAATTTAATGATAATAACTACTAGTGACACCTTCTCCCATTCGCGCGCATTTCAATTTGCTTTTTTACTTTGACTTTGTTAGGCTTACGATTACATACCGTATCAAATTTATATTATTTACGAGCAACGAAATGATAACTATAGGAGTTAGCAGTAAACATGATAATTGATACTGAAATTCTTTTTCAAGTAAGTGTTGCTTATGAAGTTTAGCGTAAAATAATCCAGCTAATACAGGATCGCTTAAGGCTAGCCTAATGTTAGTCTGACTAAGTAACTTCTAATAATGGTTGGCCGTCTCCAAACATTATTAGGCTCAAAGTGGGTTCTTCGTCATCGAATTTAAGTAACTTCTAGTTCTAAGTAAGAGTAACTCAGTAAGTAAGACTAGTACTAGTAGTACTACAGTAGTATTAGTAAGGCAGTAGTGTAACTTGTTTGTTGCGTAAGACTAAAACTTGGGACTACCTAATTTACTAATTAGCCTGTTTTTTTATTATTTATGTGATCTTCATACCCTGATGGGAAGAATTTTCAATTTATTACGACTACGAGGTATAACTAGTAGTACTAGTACTATAACTTATAAAAACAACTGTTCGTAAATTCCATTCATCTTGGTGTATTTCACTATTTCAACTTCAACTGTTCAAGTATTTGTGAAGATGACTTCTAATTCTTAGTTCCAGTTCTACATTGTACTTGTCTTATCGAATATCACGTGCTCATATTGAGTTAATCTCAGTAGTATGCCTGGGTATATCATTGAATAATCTTTCGCTTCTCGTTTGAAATTTGAATGTTTTGAGGTGGAGGAAAGAGTAGTTACTAGGCTGTCAAATCCTCAGCCAGTAGCTTTGCTTCAGTCAAAATGATCATTGGACAATTTCACCAATGAGCAGCTAACTTAGGCAAAATAAAGTTTTATTTCACAGCCATCGTTCTCAGTAGCTATTAATCAGTCATTTTTTAAAACGTTGATTAGTTAAACATACATATTAAATGTAATAATGAATGAACAACAAAACATACAAGTGTAATAGTTTGATTAAAAATATATATAACCTTCAAATATAACAAATGTTTACCATCACTGAAACACAAGTAATAAAATTAAAAGATGAAGCACTTATGTGAAAAGGAATTTATTAACTTAAATAAGTTCATTTACAGTATGTACCTTTAATTTAATAGCTGGCACTTGAACTATTTTTATTTACTACCTAATTTTTTTCAATTTATGACTAAGAAAATTCAATTTGGAGTAACAATGTACATCTCAGTTTATGGAAAGTTAAAATTGTTAGTGTTAGCATATCTTTTATGTTTCATACTTACTTGAATGTAATAGTATCACTTACAATATCCTATACACTAGGTATTCAGCCACTATGCTTTAGGTAACCCTCCCTGCCTCCATTGCTTTGACAGAATACCCTGGTTCCATGCACTTGGCAGGTGGAACCATATGGAGGTGTTTTATATAACAAGTTGGTAGTGGATTTTAATACATTAACTTTTATTTTGGTAATAGAAATTATACAAATCAAATGATTGAAATGTATATCTTTAAAGGTTTAGAGCTAAGAAGGCCAGGCTGATAAGAATTAGGAAGTCTCTTATCTCAAGGCATCAAATGTGACTAAGAAAACATGGAAAAAAAAAAGAGATGCTAGGCCTTTGTTAAGACAGTTTTATTTTTATAAGAATGTGATTGGCTTAAGGAATAAATTACCATTGGTAGTAGTTAAGACTAGCACTTTACAAGAGTTCAAGAAGGTAGTCAGTGATTTATTGAAAATAGGGGGAGGATAAATGTCAGAGACAGTTTTGAAAGTCTAAGAGGTGTGCTGTTTTTTCATAAGAGATTTCAAAATTGATCAATTTCTATAAAGATGAGGAATTTTCTTTAAAGTGTACTTACGTTGAAGTAGCTATTTCAGAAAATTTTAGAATGCTTCAGTCACTTATGAGATTTATCCTAAAACCTTGAATAATCTTAGTAGAGTCACTGGAAATTTGTATTTTTATTTTACAGAAGTTTTGTGACACTGACAAAAAGCTTATGATGGTTTGTAAGATTGCCAGTGCATAAATGATGCATAAAAATGTTTAGTTGATGAAAATAATTTGTGAGATATCAAAGTTTAGTAGTTGGTGCACAAGCAGGTTCTTGCAATATTTTGATTATAAACAACATGTTATTTGGACCAAAACAAATCATTAAGGAAAATAATCAATCAAGTAGTCACTTTTAAGTAATGATACCTTAAAAACAGAAGCTATTTTCATGTTTATTGGAAAAACTGTTCATTTTATCCTCTTGCAGATTGTCCTACTTTAGCACTTGCTGAGGGTAGGCAACATGTAGTGTACGTTGTAAATATAGTTTTTCATTGACACTGAAGTGCTTTTTTTCTTTTTTGTTTTGAGGTTTATTAAATTCTACCTATGGGACTCTTGAAAAACAAAGTTGAGAGTCCAGGACCCTTCACTGTGGGATACTAGTGGGAACCCTGAGTATTACTAGGATGATCCCAGGCTTAGTTGGATTTTCATATGAGGATATATTCAGTTCTTTTAACTTACTCTCTCTTGAAAACAAAAGGGTTATGGGTGATTAATTAAAGCACTCAAAAATTAAGGCATTTGATAAGGTTGATAGAACAGATTTTTATGTGTTTAATTTTTATAACAGTGGAAGAGATAATAAAATTGAGATTTGGAAAGGCTAGATACATCTCCATTTAAGCAGGTTTATTTCTTGAATATGATGATAAATCTAAGGAACAAGTGAATATTTATAATGGTAAAGGATGCAACTTTTTAGCCGTTTAAGAAAAGGGTTGATGAATATTAGGAGTTCAGAGCTGATATTATTGATCAGTGTTTCTGTTTATGGAAGGAATTTGGAAGTCAAATTATCCTTATATCTTGGTGGGCCAAAATGTCCCTGGGTGTTCCATAATTTTTTAAAGGAAGTGAAACATATTTATACTTGTTTGTTACATATAATGTTAGATTTTCTTTAACACAAGTACTCTTTGACTTCAGAAGGCTTTGAGTATTATAAAAATTAACTTCTTTGAGTACATGACATCTATACTAACAGTATCCATTTTTTATGCTTATTACTTTACTGAACGGGGCCAGGTGGTTAGGGAGCTCAACTCACAATTTGCAGGTTGAGGGTTAGAATCCCCATAAGGGCATTATAATGTGATGGTCAATCCCGCTATTCATTGGTAAAAGAGTAGCCCAAGAGTTGGCGTTGGGTGGTGATGACTAGTCTTACGTTGCTAAATTAGGGATGGCTAGTGCAGATAGCCCTTGTGTAGCTTTGCAAGAAATTCAAAACAAACAAACAAAATACTTTACTGAATATTTTTCTTGTCAAAGAATAAACACATACACAATTTGTTAGGTAAAGACACAGTTAAGTGAATGGAAATCTTTTTCACAAAGTATTTTGTAAAGTTTGGAACATAGCTTTTGTGATTAGGGGTATGTTTTGAAAAAGCAATAGAATCAATGCTATGTTTAATGTCACCTGTTTGAAATTCAGTCAAAATTGACCCTGATATATATATATATATATGAAGTGAACAGATGTGTAATCAATGAAAAAAGTAAATAAACCACTGAAAAATGTTCATTTTAGCCTGTTCTCAGCTTCTTCGGTACTGTGTTTGGACAAAATGGCTCAGATCTCTCACTTGGCATTCAGCACCCTTTTTCTAGGTAAGATGAAAAGGGTATGTTCCAAATGTGAGTCCACTACATGGTTGTTTGGAATAATAAAATGTGGAGATTTGTACCTGCAGATTATAATTATTATGTTAAACTTGTAATAAAAGGTTTTCTTGATTTACCCATTAAGTGGTCTCCAAACTTTGTCAGGAATATCAATCTGGCACATGTAGACTGGTTAATGGTTAACCCACCCATAACTTTAGCATCTGTATCATGTATGCTATGATAAATTAATTATTTTTAATTTGGTTATACTGTGGAAAAAACAATGTAATGAACAATTTCCCCGAAAGGGGGCTGAAGGCTGCCTGGAGGGGTCGCCTGTTTCAACCACTTGCACCACTACACAGTTGCTTAATGTTGCAATTTGTACTCTTGTGATGTCAGTAAAATGTGCACATATCATGAACTACAAGAAGAATTATGCACTTTGTAGGCTACAACAGAGTATGAAATATGAAGTTCAAAAGCAAGAAATATAAATATTTGTTACTCTTAATTTTGGTTTTATTTATTCTTGAAACAAAACACTTTCAGTGACCCTGCAGAAGAACATCTAGTAGATATGTATATATATTAGTAAAGGATGTTGTTGGAGAGACTAAAGAAAAGAACTGTCAGGATGATTCCAATTTTAAAGGGAAAATTATATAGGGAGTGGTTGAAATCTTTTGACATATTTTTGCTAGATAAGAGAAAGGCTTGAGAGGACATGATTTAGGTTCTTAGAGGTTAGGAATCCATAAATCTATGTGGAACATTCATGTACTGCAGGCAGTAACTCAAGAGAACACAAGTTTAGGAAAAAATAATATATGCATGATTCTAGTTAGGGCACTATTATTTTTGTAATATGGTAGTTGGCCTATGGAATAGTTTGCTTTGAGGTGTGGAAGAAGCTGGAATATTGAAGGAATGAGGATACTGGATGAGTATTTCAGAAATCAAGGATGGATATAAGAAAAGTAGTAGTATAACATGATGTGTTCGTTTGTTAATTTTACGTAAAAATTCTTTCCGAAGAAACTTTAGCGATGCAAGTCCTTTCTTAAATAAAAGTAGTTTATTCTTTCTCAATAAAACTTTGCAATACTCTTAATTTCCATAGTCATGCTATAACTTAAACAAACG